AACTCCAAACTCAAGGATAGTTGAAGAACAAGAGGTGTGTGTGTGAATGCAATAATAGAAAATTTATGGCACTGTAAGATTAAACCTCATGGGTTAGCAAAGTTGGTCTGGTACATTAATTTATCATTGCTAAGCTAGTCTTTCTGGCATGTTTATAGTTGGTTTGCTGTTTTTGTTAAGTGCCATCGAGTCAGTTCTGACTCATAGTGACCCTGTATAGCATTTCTGAGGAGCAGTTGGTGAACTTGCACCACTGACCTTGTGGTCCAGTGCTTTATCCTGTAGCACCACACCAGGTTAGAAATGGTCATTTGAGCATTTTTTCCCAGCTTCGCTGAAGTATAATTTACATACAATAAACTGAACCTATTTAGAGAACACAGTTTGATCAATTTTGGCATATGTACATATGCAGTGCAAAGAGCATCATAAAATAATGAAAATATGTACCCCTCAAAAAAGTATCTCTGGGATCACTGTTTCTCTGGGTAGGGTGCCATATACTTTTATAAAGTGGTTGTGTCGTTTTACATTCCCATCAGTAATATAAGAGAGTGCTTGATGTTCCACATCCTTGCCAATACTTTGTATGGTTAGGTTAGTCTTTTAATTTGAGGATTTGTAGTAGGTTTATCCACCACTCATCCATCAGTTTGTCATACTGTGGTGCCTTGTGTGTTGCTGTAATTCTAGAAGCTATGCCACCAGTATTTTAAATACCAGCAGGGTCACCCACAGTGAACAGGTTTCAGCTGAGCTACCAGAGGAAGACAGACTAGGAAGAATGAGAGGTGGAGTACTTCTGAATATTTAGTCACTGAAAACCTTATGAATAACAGTGGAACACTGTCAACACCAGAATATTGAATTTTGAAACATGATCAAGAGTGCCAGAATATTGTCAGATATAGTGCTGGAAAATGAGTCCCTTGGGTTGGAAGGCATTCAAAATACATCTAGGGAAGAGCTACTGCCTCAAAGTAAAATTGACTCTAATTACGCAAATGTATTAAAGTCCTCGGGACCTTTCATTTGCTGATGAGGCACAACTCAAAATGAAGAGAAATAGCTACAAGAATCAACGAAAAATCAGAACATAAAATGTATGGAGTAAGAATATAGGAAAATGGGAAAGTGTCAAAAATGAAATGGAATGGAGCTGAAATGGACTGCATTTGGACTTTTTTTGACAATCACATGGTTTACTGTGCTGGAATGATAAACTGAGAAAGAATAGTGTCACGTTCATCATAAAAAAGAACATATCGAGATTTGTCTTGAAGTACAACGCTGTCTGTGATAGGATAATATCCATGCACTTACAAGGAAGATCAATTAATATAACTATTATTCTAGTGTATGTACCAACCACTAAAGCCAGTGATTATGAAACTGAAGAATTCTACCAACTTCTTCAGTCTGAAATTGATCAAGCATGCAATCAAGATGTATTGATAATTACTGGTGATTGGAATGCAAAGGTTGGAAACAAAGAGGAAGGATCAATAGCTGGAAAATCTGATTCATAATGATAGAAACAATTCTGGAGATCACATGATAGAATTTTGCAAGACCAATGACTTCACTGCAAATATCCTTTTCAAACAACATAAAAGATGATTATACAAATGGACCTCCCAAATGTAATGCACAGAAATCAAATTGACTACATCTGTGGCAATAGATGGTGGAAAAGCAAAGATGTCAGTTTGATGACTAAGGTGCCATGGTATTTTCAATAACCTCATATGCATGTAAAAGTTGTACAGTGAATAAGGAAGACTGTAGAAGAATTGATGCATTTGAGCTATGGTATTGGAGGAGAATATTAAAAGTACCATGGACTGCCAAAAGAACAAACCAATCTGTTTTGGACGAAGTACAGCCAAGCCAGAATGCTCCCTGGAAGCCAGCATGGCCAGATTTCATCCCTCATACTTCAGACATATTGTCAGGAGAGACAAGTCCCTGGAGAAGGATATCATGTTTGGTAAAGTGGCGCATCGGAGAAAAGAGGAAAACCCTCAATGAGATGGAATGGCACAGTGGCAGTAGCGATGGGCTCAAATGTAGCAGCGATTGTGAGGTTGGTGCAGGACTGGGCAGTGTTTTGTTCTGCTGTGCATTGGGTCACTATGAGTCAGTACCAACTCAGTGTCATCTGTCCACACCAGCAGAATATTTATAGAACTTCATGGGTGGCACAAATGGTTAAGTACTCAACTACTTGCTGAAATGTTAGTGGTTCAAAACCACCCAGAAGTGCCTCAGAAGACAGATTTGTTGATCTTCTTCCAAAGAGTCATAGCCTTGAAAATGTACAAGATAGTACTGCTCTTGGCACTTACGGTCAATAGCAACTAACAACAACAAAAGTAGGTTTATAGTAGTGTAATATTGTACTTGTAATTTGCTTTATCCTAATGACTTCATGTGAATATTTTTATTTCGGTAGTTTCTTTGGTGAAGTTTCTATTCAAACCTTTTGTCCATTTTTTTTTTTTTAAATAGGTTACTTGTCATCTTTTTATAGAATTTAAATATTCTTTATATGCTCTATTTTGTCAGATCCTTTGTGAGATGTTTTGCAATCCTTTGTGAGCTATTTTGCGAATATTTTGTAGCTTGCCTTTTAATGTTCCTAGTGGTGTCTTTTGATAAGAAAAAATATTTAATTCTGATGACATTCAATTTATTAATATTTTCTTTCATAGTTTATGTTTTCTTGTGTTGTATTTAATCTAAGACCACACTGTCTTGATTACTAGAGTTTATGGTATTGAAATTAGGTAGTATAAATCCTCCAACTTCGTTCTTCTTTATCCAAGTTTATTTTTTTCTTATTTTTCTAGATCCTTTATATTTACATATAAATTTAAAATCATCTCACTAATTTCTAATTTCTACAAAAAGGCCTTCTGGGATTTTGATTGGAATGACAGTGAATCTTTAGATTAGCATGGGGAATTGACATTTTATGTACACACACACACACACACATATATATATATGTTGTTGTTGTTAAGTGTTGTCAAGTCAGTTCCAACCTATAGTGAGCCTGTATACAGTTTCCAAGGAGCAGCTGGTAAGGTTGAACCACCAACCTTGTGATTCAAAGTGACTTTGCAGTCTAGCACATTAACCCACAGTGCCACACCAGGACTCCTATATGTATGGTTGTTAAGTGCTGTCTATATATGTTAAGTCACAAAGTATTCTACTAGAGTTCCTATCCATACATGCTGTTGTTGTTAAATGCCATTGATTCAATTCCGACACATAATGACTCAGTATAGTGTTTCCAAGTTTGACTTGACCACCATGTGATTAGTAGACCAGTGCTTATTCTACCATGACACACCTTGCACATGTTTATTCCAAACAAAATGTGTTTAAATCTGTTTCTGTGGTTAGTGGATAGATGCAGAAAGGTTCTCTCAGTAATACACTTGTCTTAGAGTTGTTTGTTGTTGTGAGGTGTCATCAAGTCACCTCCAACTCACAGCAACCCTATGCACAACAGAAGGAAACACTGTCTGGTCCTGTGCCATCCTCACAATTGTTGTTACACTTGAGCCCATTGCTGCTGTTACTGTGCCAATTCATCTCCTTGGGGTCTTCCTGTTTTTGTTGACCCTCCACTTTATCAAGTATAATTTCCTTTTCCAAGGACTGGTCCCTCCTCATAATATGTCTGAAGTATGAGAGACAAAGTCTCGTCATCCTGATTTCTAAGGAGCATTCTGGCTGTACTTCTAACACACATTTGTTATTCTGGCAGCTCCTGAACTTTCAATATTATTCTCTAACACCATAACTCAAATGCAGCAATTCTTTTGTGGTCTTTCTTATTCATTGTCCAGCTTTCATATGCATATGAGGCTACTGAAAATACTATGGCTTAATTTAATTTAATTCTCAAACTGATATCTTTGCTCTTAAACACTTTAAAGAGGTCTTGTGCTGCAGATTTGCCTAATGCAGTCCATCATTTGATTCCTTTGATTTATTAACTGTTGCTTCCATGAATGTTGATTGTAGATCCAAGCAAAAAGAAACCTTTGACAACTTCAATCTTTTTTTCCATCTATCATGATGTTATTTATTAGTCCAGGTGTGAGGATTTTTGTTTTCTTTACATTGAGTTGTTTGGTGCCTTCATAGAAAAGGTCCATTCAAAACACTAACTTCCGAAGGGACCTGCTAGGCCAGTATAATATAAGGCAGAATGTTCAGTTTAGAAAGTTATAGCAATTGTTTTTTTGAATTTCAAAAGTGTAATCTTTATAGATTTTCTTGAAGGTCACAGCATGATCACAGGAACCTATTTGGAAGAATTTTTAAGAAAATTAAAAACTGTGTTGATGAGAAAAGTCCTGGAAGCTTGTTTTTTTCTACTGTGACAATATACCTGCTCATTCTTCAAAAATAGCAAGAGTTAGCCTATGAGACTTTCTTTGGAAAATCTTATCACCCTTCAGCCCTGATCTTGTCCCGTCAGACTTCTTATTTTTGACTCCCAAACTTAAAAGAATATTTAAAATGAATATGATTTGAGTTTGGGGAGGGTGACCAAATTATCGTTCTGACATGATGTAAGTCAAAGACTACAGAACTCAATGGGTGGAAGGGTTAGGGCAATGGAAGCACCACCTTCAGAAATGCATAGACCTAAATGGAGACTAAATCAAGAAACAATAGGTTCACATTTTGATATTTTGTTTCATGAAGTTTTCTATTATTCTGCAGTACTACTTTTGGACTTATCCTCACTTGTTTGTATGTGCATATATGACTTTTATGTCTCTAGAAATTAGAGGTGCTTAATCTCAACTACTGGAGTCCTGGTATGATGCCGTGGGTTAATGAGCCAGACTGCAAAGCCATTTGAACTGCAAGGTCAGTGGTTCAAGCTCCCCAATTCACCTCAGAAACCCTACACAGGCTCACTATGGATTGGAACCAACTCTACGGCACTTAACAACAACAAGAATCTCAACTACTTACTGAAAGGTTGAGCACCCAAAGGTGCCTCAGAAGACAGCATTGTTAATCTTCTTCCAAAGAGTCACAGCCTTGAAAATTATATAAAAGAGTTCTGCTATACACATTTGGGGTCCATAGCAACTAATTACAACAAAAGCACTATACTGCTAACCGCAAGGTCTGTGGTTCAAACTCATCAGCCACTCTTCAGAAACCCTATGAGTCTCTATGAGTCAAAACTGCCTCAACAGCACTTAACAACAACATGTTTTCTAATTCTATCATCCATGTCATTTCTCAATTTGTTTCTATTGATTAATTGTTGTCTTCATTGTTGTTGTTGTTGTTGTTAAGTGCCATTTTCCTTCTTTGCATACCTCACCATTTTGACTGGGAACAAGGCATTACAAATTTTCACATGTTAGTACTGGATGTTTCTATATTCCTATACACATTCTTGCTTTTGCTTTTAACTTAAGTTACTGGGAAATAGTTTGATTCTTTTGAGACTTGGTTTTACTTTTTGTCAGGACTAGCAAAGCCTTTAATCTAGGGTTACTTTTTCTCTATACTTAGATAACCTTTTTGGTACTCTAGCAATGCATTGTGACTTGTAAGGTCTTTCACTCTGCTTGATGGAAACACAAACTCGATTTCCAGAAATCTCTTTCTGTGCATCTCTGTCCCCTCTGACACTCTGCCGCATGAACTTGGGCCATCTTGACCTCATTGACTCTAGTTTGTTTCCTCAAAAACTCATACAAGTTTGTGTGCTGCCTGATACTCAAAATATGAAAGCCTTTACTTCATATAGTTAGTCTGGATTTTTTAGTTGTTTCAGGCAATAGGGAAAATTTGAAGCAGAAGACTTGTTGACCTATTTCTATGTGAGATAAAAAAAAAAATCTGCCTTGCTTTTTCTCTAATGAATTTCTTTGTTAGGGTGCCTTGTCAGGGAATCAAGCCTACTTGCACTGTGGCTGGGGCAGAAGAAGAAAATGATGGGTCCAACGGAGGCACTAAAACCCACAGGACCTACAACCCTAACCTCATTCAGACTGCAGGGTTTCTCCTTCTGCACCAACTATGAGTACATTCAGACATTTAGCAAGATTCAAAGAGGAAGGTTTACATATACATGTAATAATGGATTCTGAATACGTCAGTGTCTCATTGGCAAATATTTCTAATTAGAGTAAACAATGATCGACATCTGAGATAACTGGAAGGTTGTGGATTGGGGTAGACACAATTTCAGGTTGACAACTGAATATCGTTCAGACTTACTTCTAACTCTTCTTTGTGTACTGTTTGGGAAGACAGAATGCTTTAGGTGATTGAATATGAATACAACAGTGTTTGTTATCAAAAAAACTGGAAGTCATGAGACATTAGTATGTATGTAAGAGTCCATTTACACAAGTAAATGTTTACATCTCTCTATGTGTCTTCCTCTAGGAAATAGTAGAGCAAAATGAAGGGCAGGATGAATTCCTCACCAAGCTCTTTGAAAAGATAAGTTGATCAGATATGGTAGCAGGAGTAGGAAGCAGGAAACAAATTGGAAAAGATAATTTCATGGAGCACAGCCTTGCATTTGCCTGTCCTGAGTATAAATTGTGATTGTCAAAACTGATGCTTCTCTGTAAGTTCTCAAGATTTTAGAGAGGTATATGGAGTCGTTATCTCTAGCAGTGATGTATCTCTTTTCTTAGAAATGACAGTGATAGTAACTTGTAGGAGGAGTTCATTTAGCCTCTGATGCCTAAGTCTTGAATCAGAGTTGAGAATGATGGTTGGGTGGAAGAGGAGAGATTGGCAGTGACAAGCTATGGGGTCATGAAGAGGGCAAACAAAGGGAAGCTCAGGCAAACAGTCACTTGAGTGGTGACTTGGAAAAGGACTGAAACTGATAAGAAGGTTTCAAGGAGTAGGAAGACTTAAAGTTCTTTCCTTGGGCTGACCCAGATCTGAGTAGCCAGAAGACCAGAGTGAGCAGTGCAGGACTATGGAGGCCATTTTTTCCATTCCTTCCAATTAGTAAATCAACTTAGGAATAGAGCAAGAAAAAACATGGAAATCTGGAGTCTGGGTTTTGAACAATAACTTTAAAACTAAATGAACATGAGTCCCTATATTAGTACCGCTCATGATTTAAATTCACAGGTTAGCTACCCTTCTCTTTTATTCCTGGTGTGGCATTGTGGGTTAATGCTCTATACTGCAAAGTAGGTTTCAGCCGTAAGGTCAGTGGAAGTTCACCAGCCACTCCTTGGAAACCCTATATACGGTCTCTATGGATCAGAACTGACTCAAAAATAGTTAACAACAACAACAACAATTATTTTGGATAATGTAACCAGAAAGGATAAACCAGAATCTTATACTTTTATTTATAATAGTTATTTATGAAAGTCTTCCATCTTATCAATGGTTTCCAAACATTTCCTGCCACTGTCTTTTTATCCAATGAAATATCATAAAGAATATATATATAATTATTTTTTATGTATTATATTGCATGACTTCTGGTGTGTCACTGTAGGATCAGGACTGGACTTTAAACCACAAGGTCAGCAGTTTAAACCCACCAGCTGTTGCTCAGAAACCCTATACAGGGTCACTATGAGTCAGAACGAACTCAACAGATTGATTTGTTATTGAATGCCGTCGAGTTGGTTCCAACTCATAGCTACCCATTGCATAGGGTTTCCAAGGAACATCTGGTGAGTCTGAGCCACTGACCTTATAATTCAAACTAACCTGTGGTCTAGTGCTTATTCTAAATACACCAGGACTCTCTCTGTATATACATATCCTGGTATGGCACTGCAGGATAATGCACTGATATAAACATATTTATGTGTATATATCCTGGTGTGGTGCTGCAGGATAATGCACTGGACCTCAAGGTCAGTTTTAAACAGCAAGGTCAGCAGTTCAAAACACACCAGCCACTTCTCAGAAACCCTTTACAGGTCTGTATGAGTCAGAACTTAACAACAACAATAACATCTAGTAAAAATATGATTTTATAAAACCACAGACTTAATTACATGTCTAACCATAATATTTTTGTGCAACATAATGGTGCCAATTATTTCTGCTCAGGAATGGCCTATATGCCACGTGGGTCTCCCTCTAGCTTGTAGTTCCTCTGACACCTAATGAGCCTTTAATAATGATGCTTTTCTGCTGTCATTCTGTTTCCTTTTTAGTATCCAGAAATAACTACACTCCAACTGAAGAAGATCCTGAACCAGAGGACCTGGTCAAGTAAGTACTTGAAAGTAATCCTGTAGGACATAGAAGGAACACAACTTTTCTCAACTCTGCTTCTTCTTTGTCCTTCCCTTGGTGGGTTGTGTGAGTTGATGAGCAATGGCCCCATTGAGCAGCTCTGTTTTATACGAAGATAAGTCTTGTTGTCTGACAAAGCAGTAGAAGAACTAATGCAGCACTGGAAATAAGTATTTTCTTTCTTAATTTGGGTGGATATGGAAATATGGCAGTAGAAGTGAAGATTTCTGTTATCTTGCTAGATTGAGGGGACTAGCTGAGCACTTCTTTCTTGACTTATAAATTCTGTGAGGAACAACTGCATCTATTTCCTTAATCTGGCAAATAACTTCTCTGTTGAGTTTATATTTAAATTGAGAAATCTACAAACACTTTTAAAAGCCCATTGCAAATGGAGGGCTTGAATGTGTTTATATGAAGCCCAGGATGAGCCATAAGAAAAGGTCAAAGTCCAAGTGAAAGTATCTGGAATGAGAAGAACATGGAAGACATAGACTGATTTCTTCAGGAACGAGAACAGACTTTAAGGCACAGCAACTGTAGGAGATTTGCTACCTAAGATTTGTGATTGCTTCTTTTGTTGATGTAGCCAAGCCTTCAAACCCAGACAAATTAAAGCCCAGGGTATTGAAATAATTTCCAGGTGATCCTTCAAAGCCAAATCCAATTATCAGGTAAATAAACAGTAGGAGAGACCCTAGAAATGATAGAACATAAGGCCTGACACCCCCCAACCCACCCTCCAAATATTCTTGGTTAGTTCTGGAGAAATTAGCTAGTAGATATAACTTGTGGAAACCAAAAAAAAAAAAAAAAAAAAAAAAAAATTAATGCCTTGGTCACAAGGATACAAATAAATTTTCAAAGACTATATGGGCAAGTTACATTTATTTAGTCTTTTGAGAGAATTCGTGGATTGACGATTGTGGGACTCCTGTAGATTTTGGCCAAGGATTTGGCAATGTTTCCCATGATAAGTGATGAGAGGTGGTTTGAAAAATACTATTGTTAAGAGTATTCACTGCAAGTCTTATTACCATTCCCAGAGACTTATGTAAATGTAAAACTAGAGGAATAATTCTCGGTAAACGTCCCCAGATTCTATCCTTGGTGCTGTTCACTTTCACAACTTGGATCAATGACTTAGAGGAAGACATGGAATGCTGGCTTATGAGACCTGCAGATGGCACAGTGCCTGGAGGATTCATTCATATTAGTGACAGCAGAATTGAAATTCAAAACATTCTCAACAAGCTGTGTTTATTCAAAAAAATAAAATGTAGCCAGGATGAAAATTAAGCACGGCCATTTTGTTATTTAAAAAAATTGTTGCACAAATTTAATATAGACATGACCTCATTTTTGTGGCAGTTTATTTGAAAAATATCTGGTTAATATAGTTGACCTCAAGCTTAACATGAGCTAATAGTTTCAAGTTGCTGCTTAATAAGTTATTACAAATTCAAGCTATATTTAATGGGAGCATTTAGACTCGTGTTTTTGAAATTGTGTTCTAAGAAACAGAAACCAAGAGGTTTTAATAAGTGTTCCATGAAATAAAAGGGATTAGATTCTGTGGTCAATTACACTTGAGAAAATCTGGGTTAAACAAAATGTAATAGCGGGTTCTTCAATCCTTATCATATGCTAATGTTCCATGGTGAATGGAGAAAATAGTCTATAGATACAGAGTCCCAAATTTATTAACCACAAAATTATATCTTTGCAAAACATCTCCCTTTGCACATAATTTGGGACATGCTGACTTAAAACTTAGAAGTGATAGATCCACTCTATCTGCTTAATCATATTGCATCTGAAGGGTTATAGTCAAGGCTAGATTTTGTATTTTAGGTAGATCCTGGCAAAACACTAGTATCATCGCTATCAGTGGGAACCTACTTGACAGCATCTGATGACAACAGCAAAAGAGGATGATGGAGGTTTGGAAATAATATCATCTGAGGAATAGTAGGAGAAATCTTAGATGCTTAGAATGAAAGGCAAAAGATGAAGTTGTCATGCTTTCCTGGAGGCAGAACTAGGATTGCTGAGTGAATATCACAAGTTTCCTTTGCACTGATCATAAAAATGTGGTCAGGACTAGAGTTACCCTTCAATACAGAGGTTTGCTAGGTGAAAAAGTGAGCACCCATTAGCGTAGTGGTTACAAATCAGGCTGCGAACCTTAAGGTCAGCAGTTCGAAACTACCAGAGAAAGATGAGGCTTTCTGCTCCTGTAAAGACTTATAGCCTCAGAAACCCTGTACAGGGTCGCTATGGGTCAGAATAGACTCAACAGCACTTAACAACAACATTACTGACAAGCCATCTGTTAAATAATCTGAGGAATGAATTCCTTCGTTTGAATGGGTTTTCCCATTCTTGTAGTTCTATGTAGTTCTTGTAATTCTATGATCTTAGCCTTCCTAGGTAAGAGAGTTATTTCCGTTTGACCCACTGTGAAAGAAAAGCTATGCTACAATTGGGTGTCCCTATAGGGGTTTCCTGTGCTTCTTGGGTATAGGAAGCGCCAACAAACTTTCTCTTTCTCTCTCTCCACTACTCTGTCATTCTTATTCTTTTTTGTTGTTGTTAAGTGCCATCAAGTGTGTTCTGACCCATAGCGACCCTGTGTAGGGTTTCCAAGGAGCAGCTGGTGAGCTTGAACCGCCGACTTGTAGTTCAAACTGCTTCGCAGTCTGGCACATAAACCCACAGCTCCACACCAGGACTCACTCTTTATACCCACATAAATGCTAGTCGTTGGAACCTATGGCAGGTCTGAACAGCACTGCCCTCCAGTTTTAAAAAGGGGCATACAGTATTAGGGCAACCCCCAGAAAGAATATTTTTGTTCTTTGGCAGAACTGGGAAGCATACTGCCCCTCTTCAGCCTCGATGCCTGCCAGGTGATCCTGACCCTACTGGACTTATCTTTCAGTTTTGTGGGAGGATGAACGCTGTTAGTTGAGTACTAAGCTCTGGAGTCAGATTGCCTGGGTCTGAATCCTAAACCTGACATTCACTAGTTTTGTGAGTTTGGAAAAGCCATTTAGCCTCATTATTCCTCAAGGTCTTCATTTGAAGCATGAAGAGTATTAAAACCTATTCTGAGAATTCAAATGGGACACTTATAAAGTGCTTAGAGTGTAATTGTCATATTGTTGTTGTTGAGTGCTATTAAGTCAGTTTCATCCCATAGCTACCCTATATAGGGTTTCCAAGGAGCAGCTGGTGAGCTTTGCAGGTCAAATGACTTTGCAGTCTGGCGCATTAACCCACAGTGCTGCACCAGGACTCCAATTGTCATATAAGTGACCAATATTAACTATTAATAACAATAACTTTATTTTCTGGAAGTGAGGATGAGGTAGCTGCAGGGTGGTGATTATTAACAATTCTCCAGCTTTACAAGAGGCTTTTACAAGAGCCTCAGGGCTGTAAGCTTGTCATTTGGTATCATAGGCAGTAGATCTCCCCATTAACAGATTAGGAAACTAGAGCTTGGGAAAGTTAAATGGTGTACCACAAAGCCAGTTTTCCTGGTTCTCAGCGTTGTAATTTTTCTAGCAAATTCCCTGCCCTTGTATGTAGGCAACATCATAAGCCTGCATCCATACTACACTACAGAAAGGTATATAGAATTGATAATCAGCAAGGGGATACAAACACAAAAACAAACATAAGTCTTTGCAGAAACTCATAGTATCTTTAGCTGACATGGAATCACTCCTCAACTCAAGGCAACCCCATGCTCAATGGAATGAAATGCTGCCCAATCCTGTGCCACCTCCACAATTGGTTGCAGATTGGACTGTTGTGATTTATATGATATTTAGAAGTCAATTGCCAGCCCTTTCTTCTTAGTCTATCTTAGTATGGAAACTACTGAAACCTGTTTACATTATAGCAATACACAATCCATTGGCAGGCAGGTGTTGACTACACATGAGGAACATTGGCTGGAAATCTAACCCAGGTCTCACGTATGGAAAGTGAGGATTCAATCACTAAACCACCACCATCACCTACCTCATACCCCACCAGAAGACAGTGTAGGGTGTGGTGAAGTATACACACATTGAAACAGGTCCCAGTCTTGTCACTTTAGCAAAGAACCTCTAAACCCTTATTTCCCCATCTGTAACATGGGGGCAGTTAGTACTAAAAGTTTTCCAAGACTCCTCATTTCCTGAAGAGAGCATCCAAACTCCTTAGCATGATGTTCAAACTCCTTCATAAGTTGGCTCCCTTCTACTTCTTCAATCACTACAACTCTCCTCCTTCTCTTCTGAGTTCTAAAGTTGGAACCATCCTAAAAATTTGCATCATGTGCAGAAATGAATCACATGTCCCTAGCCTAGTATGTCTATATCCCATGAGAAAAACAAAACAAAACAAAACAAAAAACAGCTTCTAAGAGGTTGTGTCCATTAAAGAATGTGAGAGATGGTAGGATCCTGGCATAGGCCAGCCACAGGTCCTTCTGGGATAAGCAATTCCATGGTTCTCTGTAGCATTGACCCTGGGGCCTTCCCAGGCTCTCTGGTAGGATTTGGAAATGCCTGGCTTCCTTAGCCTTTGGTTGTGGTTCTTCACAGGTGATTTTCCACAAGCAAGACAGTCACCAGTTAGGATACCTGAACTGGGACCACTTCAGGCTGCTGTAAAGGAGGCAGGTAGGCATGGAAGGACCTGGTACCACTGGGCACAGAACTGGCAGACAGAGAGGAGAAGGGATGCCTGAGTCTTAGTCTCGGAAGGGGGTTTGCTTTGAGGGGACCTGACCGCTTGTCTTGATGACTCCTGGGCGAGCAGCTTGCTTGTTCTTGTAGTAGCCAATCAGACTGCCGTTATTGTTTTGATTTTTTTTTTCCTGTGGGTCTTTCTTTCACTAAGTATCTTCTGTTCTTCTGTCTGCTCCAGGCTGTTCTATTTGTCCTTTCAAGTGGAAATTTCCCACCTCAGAAGAGAACCATTCAACTTTTAACTAGTAGTGATTGTGGTGTGGTGACAGCAGTTGCTATTTACAAATCAGGGCATTTTTACATGGCCAATTTGAAGGTGTGAAGTATATTTGCATATTCAAAGAAGTGGATCTGCAAGTAACAAAAACATTTCTTGTTATTTCCATTATATAATCATGTTGTTGTTGCTGATGCCTATTGAACTCTTCTTGGTGTTCAATAGCACCCCGTTATAATCCCATCTCTACAGAGTAAGAAAGAGACTCAGGGAAATGAAGGAACTTGCCCAGGGTTTAATATTCTGGAGTATCAGGCTCCAGAGCAGATTCTCTTGTCCCTTCAGTAGATTTGATCCTACCACAAAGGCCAATCACCTATTTGGTCAAAAGATTTCCATATGGTTGCTTAAGATGAGCAAGGGTGGGGAATAGAGATAAAATAAAACTGATTGAATAATTAGACAATTAAAAACAAACTCTGCTAGGACCATCAAGCGAGAAGAGCACAAGCAGAATGCAGGAGCTTATTGAGAGAAGAAGCGATACCAGAGATGGAGGCGGAGATGAGGACATGGAGAGAGGAAGCAGTTGAGGAAGCTAGACTCATGGAAAGAAAGGGACTAAGTGCTGGTGGCCAGGAGGCAGATTTGCAGAATGTACCCTTAGATGGTGTAAATTATTATATATGCCTGAGTGTTTTTTTAAAACGAGCTAAAATAGAGAGAAATACTGTTAACTGATGGTCCATGGAGGGGATTATAATCATTGTAATGAAACAAGGTGTATGATTTTTTTAATGTAAAATTAATGATCTGCCTTGTAAATTTTCACTCCATTCACAATAAAAACAAAGTCTGTAGAAGAAGGTTCTCTTTAGGGGGTCTCAGATGGGAGGGGATCTGGGTGCAAGGCTGCCAGTACCCATGCAGGAGGCTGTGTTCAGTGCAGGCATGGTGCTCAGTGATGATGTCTGCAAGCTGATGCTCATGCTATGGCGACCCCAATCTCTGGCTTGACTTTGTGAGCTCTGTTTACCTGATGCTTCATGCCAAGAACATGGAAGGTGAACTGATGGGAGGGAGGGAGCTCAGGGCTTCCTCTGCACTTCCTGTCCCTAATTCATAGAATTGGGTGGCAAGCTGTCCATCTAGAAACAAGAGGCCAGGCAATCTGCATGGAACACTAGGTATGTGCCTAGGAGATATGGCTAAGTCTACCCAAACCACTGCTACTCGTGTTCCAGAAGCAGAGGTAGCTCACTTAGATAATAGTCACTTAGAGTTGCCTATGTTCCTAAATTGGGTTCCCTTGGGTTTTCAGCATGGATGTGGTTAAAGGGGAGAAGGGATGCATAGAAAGAACTAAACCATAATTGAAGGAGCCTGAGTGCAGCTATTTTGAGACCAACCGCCATAACTCTCTTCAATGTCTATTTTCCTTAAATTTCAATTTCCCATTTCTGCCAGTTAGCCCCTTCTAAATCCAACCCCCAGACAAGACCTCACAAAAGCCCATTTCCTCCACTGCTAGCCCCATCTAAACCCCAACCCCCCCCAAAAACCCCAAAAAAACCCTCAGTCTGTGCAGGAGGATGCATCTGAGCCTGGTTAGTAAGCCTCTTCTTGTCTTGAATAAACCTGTCCTGGCTGTTGAGCTGTTCAGCTGTGCTCTTGGTCTCCTTTCCCCATTGACTCGAACAATAATAATGTTTCCAACATCAAAAACAACAACAAGAACAACTGTGTTCCTTTTGGTTTCATTTTCACAGATGCTTTCCAAAACTTGACCCAAGATGACAAAGGAATAGACCTCCAGAAGCCAGAGGTAAGAAAATTTACTCATTATCATCTTAGGTGGAGCTGCCCATTGCAGATCCAGGCTCTTTTGAAGGAATAGGACTCTGGGACCTTTAATTCTACTGCATCTGAGATTTTGCGTTCATCCATCAGTTGTTATTGAGTACTCATGGTAGGCCAGGCACCTAGGAAGGGAGCAGGACACTGACTGAGTGCATCCAATAACCATGGCCACAATTATGCCATGTGACAAAATCCACAAAGCTTCAGCCACATACAAGCATTTAATTAGCTCCTGAGTCATAAAGTTTGAAATCAGCAGATCTTGCTGGCTTGCTCATGCATCTGGGGGGTGAGTGGGGACTTTGCTGTGACACCTTCTTTGAGGAAGACTTTCCAGAGCAAAGGCAGAAGCGCAAGAAAGCAAAAGTTTCAGCACAGCAACCTCTGAGACATAGGCTTCCAGAGACTTGCTACTCCTTCTGTTGTCCAAAGCAAGTCCCATGACCAAATCCATTTTCAGCAGATGAGGAAATGACTTCTTCTGTTGTGGGAGGAACTGCAAAGTCATTTAAGAGAGCATGGATATGGTGAGGGGTACAGAACAGAGTTCAGTAATGAACAGTAATAGGAGAGCTACACTATATGCTCTGCCAAAGTCATTGTAGAGGAGGCAGCATTGAAGTTTGAAGCCACATAAAGAAGAAGACTCCTGGCAGGCAAAGTGAAGGATAGGAAAGACACAGGCTAGATGGAATAGTGAATGCATTCCTGGCCAGAGTACAGGGAATGCAAGGAAATGGATTCAAAATGAGTCTAAAGAGGTCAGGGTCAGATCAGGCAGGATGTACAAGACTGAAGAAAACTTCATTTTAGAAGTTGGCATAGCCTTTCCCATGTTGTTGTTAAGGGCCGTCAAGTCAGTTCCAACTCATAGTGACCCTATATAGGGTTTCTGAGGCTTTAAATGCTCATGGGAGCAAAAAGCTTCATTTTTTTTCCCATGGAGCGGCTGGAGGGTTCCAACCACAGACCTTGTGGTTCACAGTCTAGTGCCTATCATATGGAACCACCGTGCTCCCAGACTTTCCCATAGATCAGGGAATATAGCCAGTCGTGTCTCTGTGTCTCTGTGCTCTCTTCCTGAATCTCATAGTATTTGTATCAAGCAAGTAATTATAAGACATTTGTTGAAAAGGTGACATGGACTATTTATTGCCTGGGAGAAGACAAATGTGTGCATGGCACCAATGTCTGTCTTCCATTCAGACTGCATTTATTTACTGAGCACCTGCTCTGCACCAACACTGTTTAAGATGAGGGTCTGAGGTTGAATCATCTACTTTCTTTCTGAAACAAATCCTCTGGGCTGCTGAGGAAAGTTTTGGTAAAAGCTGGCATTTAGTAGGTATGTAGTAACCCTCCAAGATACAGGGTCAGCACATATCCGTTGTCAATCACTCCAGTTTCAGGTGTGAAGGTGGGATTTAGCCAGAGGGAAATGTTTAGAATCTTCTGCGCCAAGCCCTGAGCTGCCTGGCCTACACCTGACTACCTTGGCATCAGCTCCTGGCCCTGGGCACCCTCTCCATAGAGGCAGACACAGAGCTAAGAGAGCAGGGAGATGTATGTGACTCCAGAAACAGGACAGCCCACAGCCAGAGCAGCCTCTTGCATAAGGTGTGCCATCAGAGAGAGAGAGACAGAGAGAATTGGACTGGGGTCTGTTTTTGTTAGATGCCATCCAGACAATTTCAAGATGTGTGTAACTGCCCCATAGTGTTTTCTAGGATGTGATCTTTATATGAGCATATCACCAGGTCTTTATCCCACAGAGCTGAGGAACGGGTTTGAACTGCTAGCCTTTCAGTTAGCAGCCTAACACTTAACCATTGCACCATAAGAGTTCCTTGGACCGGGGTCTAGGCCTGGATGAAAGCCATAGCACTACTTAGATCTAGTTCCAGGACCATAGGTTAATTACTTTCAATGTCTGTGAGTGGGCAGGAGTAAGTCCTGAGATCCTCTCAAGCTTTCTCACTGGTTCCATGAGAGATCATAAGAGCCACCCAAGCTTGCAGGGGTAGCAGCCAACTTACTGGAATTTGACTTGGAGGCTTTTCTCTGACATCATGAGTAACTTCATCATTATCACCTTCATCAGTGCTACCATTATATTAAAGTAATTGGCCTGGAAATGGTCTTCCCAGAGGTCCCTCTGTGTTGGTAATAGTCATCATACACATATAAAACTGTCAGACAAATAGGTCCATTAATGTAAACATATAGAATATACTCTAATGGAGTCCTGCTTCCTAGTAGGTCTGTACAGAGCTGTCTCAAGCATGCCAAATTGAATTTATGAAAAAAATACTGAGAAAATATTGTATTTTGGTTGTCATCACTCACAGGCTCTAGGAGAAGGCAAGGTTGATTCTATTTCAGGTTGATTTATATTTGCTACTGAGTGGTGTGGTCCCTCTGGCTAAAGCATCCATTAATGTTCTGTCTCCATGGTTCCCCAAGAGTGGAAGGAGAATGCCCTAAGTCCTATGTCAGGCTCTGCTCCCATAAGTACCTGGTGACAGAGAAATGAAAGCATTCTTCACTGTATGTGAGGAGGTGGGTCTGAACTGATCCCACCTTGATTTTCCATTATGTCCAGTGGCAGATGATGACTCTGTATTCCTGAAAAGGCAGGAGCCTGCCTGCCTGCCCTCATTGAGGACTTCATATATGGCCTAATGGTAGTCTCTGGCTACCACTCAATCCACTTACTGTTCTGCTTTGAATACACAGCATGTAAAAAAGGAAGGTTGTTGTTGTTATTGTTAGGTGCTGTTGAATTTGTTCCAACTCAGAGTGACCCGGTGCACAGCAGAATGAAAAACAGCCTCATCTCCTATGTCATCCTCACAATGGTTATGCTTGAGCCCATCGCTGCTGCCATTGTGTCAATCCATCTCATATGCAGTCTTCCTCTTTTTCACTGACCCTTCACTTTACCAAGCATGATGTGCTTCTCCAGAGATTGGTACCTCCTGATAACATGTCAGAAATATGAGAGACAAAATCTCACCATCCTGGCTTCTAAGGAGCATTTGGCTGTACTTCATAGAACATAGATTTGTTTGGCTTTCTGGAAGTCCATGGTACTTTTGGAGTACTGGTGTGGCACTGTGGGTTAATGCGTCAGACTGCAAAGCCATTTGAACTGCAAAGTCAATGGTTTGAGCTCACCAGCTGCTCCTTGGAAACCCTATACAGGGTCGCTATGAGTTGGAACCAACTCGACAGCACTTCACAACACAGCAAAAACAATGGTACTTTTAATATTCTTCTCCAACACCATAACTCAAATGCATCAATTCTTCTACAGTCAACTTTATTCATTGTCCAACTTTCAAAAGCATATGTTGTTGTAATGTGCCATGGAGTCGGTTCCGACTCATAGTAACCCTGTACAGGGTTTCCGAGGCTGTAAATCTTTACAGGAGCAGAAAGCCTCATCTTTCTCCTGCGGAACAGCTGGTAGTTTTGAACTGCTGACCCTGAGGTTCACAGCCCGATTCATAACCACAGAGCTCCTTTCACATACATATGAGGCTATTGAAAATAGCATGGCTTGAGACAGGCACACCTTAGTCCTCAAACTGGTATCTTTGCTCTTGAACACCTTAAAGGAAAGGTAGATTTTAAACACTGCCTTGATTTGAAAGGACTTGCTGTCCTTCTCTAAGGTCACGACCTTGTCATAACCAGAGAGGTTACATGACATGGCCTAGGCAATCTGACCACAGAGCTGGTGTGATTAACATCTCTACCTCCATGGCTGTCCAATTTCAGTGACCTTAGGAGCTCCATGTGTCATCATATTTGGGATAGTAGTCTAAATTTCAAGATCTGGAGAGGGAATAATACCTCCTTAAATATCTGTACTAGCATCTGCAAATTTTTGGTAGAGGCATCAGTTAAGTCTTCACTGTTTGGTGTGGGTTTGGGGTGGGTGGCTTTCAAGAAGACAACAAATGAAAGAATTGGCATGATCCGGGTGGGTGGGCTGGCTCTGGCATCTGAGCTTACCTTCTACTGATAAGATTCCCAGATGTTAAATGTTGTGAGGATCAGAGATTTTAGAACACCTGAGTTCTCAAAGAACTTCGTGCATGGGGCAGGTGTTAGCCAGCTTACTTGACCTATGAACTATCAGAAGCATATCAAATCAGTCCAGAAATTCTCTGTCTACTTACTTCAAAGAAGAACAGACTCAACCATGGAGTTAATAAGGTTGTATATGAGAGTTTTTGAAAGACAGTGATAATCACATTTTATCACATCCCTACCAACTCAGAATCCATTTATAAAACCAGAACAAAGGCCATGTCCCAAAGCCATGCATTTTCTCACAGGTTAGCACCTGAGAAACATTCACTAAAAGTTTATTTACTCTTAATTTGTTAACAATTCTAACAATCACAGCTATTTGGTTTCCAAGTTCCAAGCCGACTAAAGAGGAAGCTGATGATGATGTTGATGTTAAGTGCCCAGTCAGTTCCAACCCATAGCGACCCTGAACAGGGTTTCCGAGGCTGTAAATCTTTACAGGAGCAGAAAGCCTCATCTTTCTCCTGCGGAACAGCTGGTAGTTTCAAACTGTTGACCCTGAGGTTCGCAGCCCAATGCGTTACCACTATGCTACCAGAGCTCCTCCAGAGGAAGCTGGAGGAGGGTTGAAAGGATTCCATTGCCATCAGGAACAACGGAGTTAGGTGGCTACTGTAACCAGGTGAAGGGAGCATTTTTGAAGCCTAGTATAAAGAGATAGGAAAGCATTTTCTTTAGAAAGGTCTTAATTTATTCCAAATGATAACGTATTATGATAGTTTTCTCAAAGTACCAGATACAAGAGGTATTGATTTTTTTTTTTATAAATAATGATTATGTATTTATAGTCTTTCAAAGATTTTTACACTCATTGATTTGTCAGTTGTCTTTGTCTTTTGAGTCTGTCATTATAAATGTTTGTTG